TCCGCCACCCACGCGCCGCGCCCACACGCAGCCCTGAGGGGAGCCGCAGCGCCCCCCGCACGCTCCTCCCCGCGCCCTTCCTCCGCACAGCTGCTCTGTACCCCACCCCCCACACACACCCACAGAACACACCTCAAAAGAAGCATGAGTAACACACCCCCCCCCCGAAGGGGCACCAGTAACACATACCCACCACAAAAGGGACACGGGTAACACCCCCAAGGGGGCACCGGTAACACACACATACACACAAAGGGGCACCAATAACACACACACATGCACCCTGAAGGGGGCACAGGTAACACATACACACACCTGAAAGGGGCATGGGTAACACACACACCCAAAGGGCACAGCTAACACACACAAACCCCCAAAGAGGCATGGGTCACCCCGGGGTACGGGTAAGGTAGCAGAGCAAGTTAAGACTGTCCCTCCCTCCCAAGGTGAAGAGCAGAGGAAGTGGTGTCGTGTGTGCTGTGCAGCACAGCTCCCCCTGCCTGTGTTGGCACCAGGGCTCCTGGAGCCTCCCAGGTCCGGCTGCCAGTAGCCATGCCCCCAGCCCCAAGTATGTCAAGAGCAGACAAGTGGGGCTGTGCAATGCAGGTCTCTTTCTGCTTGTGCTGGCAGTTCAGTTCCATGGCGTGAGGTCTTTTGGAGCTTCTCAGGTCCATCTGCCAGTAGCAGTGCCCCCAGCCTCAAGCAATGCCATGCTCCTCCGGCTTTTCCTTAGCGAATGAGGTTGACCACCCAGTTTTGTCTTTTCCCCCTACCCTCCAAGATCTTTATAAAAATAAGCCATCATGAAATACAGCAACAGCTGTGTTTTTACAGACACGTCAGGATCTAGGAATTTGTATTTGAAATGTAATTAAAAGGAGGAGGGGGGAAGTGCACTCCATGGTTTTTTGGGGGGGGGGGTTAAGTCATTTTACAGAGATCTGTTAGGAAAGTGCTCAAAGTTCAGCGCTGGATGGCTCTTTGGCATCCTGTAGTGGAGGGTGTCCGGGATGGAAGTCATCAGGTACTAAAAATGAGTGCAATATTTACTCCCCTCAAAAGGGAATTAAAAAAAGAAAAAAGAGTGCCTGCGCTGTAACTGGGGCAGGAGACTGGAACGCAATCTCAGAATAGTTCCATAATTATCTAATTTCTGCTTTTTGTTTCACATTTTGGGAGTAAGTTAACATTTCAGATAAATCTGTTTGTCTTCATTTCCCCAGATTAGATTTCATCCCTATGCAACTGACCTTCAAATATATATTTAAATGATCCAGCAATGCATATGGGGCAATTTTTTTTAACTGAAATATGGATTGATATGAAACACTGTGGGGTGCGGGGGGGCGGTAAAATAAGATCTTATTTTAATTTCCACCCCAACTGTATTTTGACAAAAAGTGTCTGTCATGAATAATTATGTTTTCTCAACATTTTAGTCTAATCCTGTACGTTAAGGTCGTAATTCCCGAATGCCAATTTCTGTCAAAACAAAAAAAATCCATAAATTCTTCTTACAAAGTGAACTATTTATACTAGAAGTGAGCTTCAGAAAAATCAGTGCTCTTTTGCCTTTTTCTTGTCAGTTGTAGTTTTCACCTTTTTTCAGTTCCTCTTTGGTCGCAGAGAGTTAACAAAAATCACTGTTAACCCTCTAAGCATTGAGCACTATAAGAATATTAAATGAGAAAGATGTATTTATCAAAACAGGAAATCTAGGAAGTGCATAAAAGAGCATAATCTTTCATACCAGTGGGGAAATTTAACTTTTGTGAAAGCAGTTTTAAAAAATGCTTCCCCGAAGTAGAAACTTTGCAGTTATTTTTCAAACATTCATCCATAGACACAGATACTGATATTCTGTAAATATGTATTTGTTTCTTTCAGTAAAAGAGCATGTACACATAATTGTAACCTGTTCTAAATGGAAAAAGATCAAAGCCAAATAAAGCATTCACGAGGAAAATGAATAAATAATCTTGCTGAGGAGAGGACACTAATCAATATGTCTAGCTCAAAACAACATTTCTATTTTACTCCTTTGGGGTTTTTGTTTTGAGGATACAAAAACCAGCATGTCTTTTTGGTCCAATATTTTAGGAGATAATAAAAACATCACTTGAATCTGACATTAGTATTCTGCTTGTAAAGGTAATCGTAACTTTCGCATCAAAATAATAAATCCTGAGTGTTTGACTTTGGATTTAAGGTCTGATTTTTAGTCTATGTGCTGACATAAGCTTATAATATCATAGCATGTGTCCAAGCTATGACACTTTTCCTCTCCTACTGAATTGTTACTGATGTTATTTCAGTATGTATTCAATTTTTTATTGACTAAAAGGTTACATTTAGAAATTCAGTAATTACCTGGAATTAGGTTCATGGGTGTCTTCGGTTTGGTTGGCTCCACCATCTCTCTTCAAATATAAGCTCAGCAATAGAGGCATCAGGACCACACCAGCATGCCTCTGACCTAGATAAATTAGGCCATTCTCCATACAGTCCTCCATATACATATTGTATTGTCTGAAAGTGTCACAGCTAGACTTGCTACAGATGTAATGAAACTGCAGAAGAAGATGCTTGTTGCTCCCACTGAAGCACACCCATCTCACAGGCTATTCTTCCTTCCTTCTAAAATACCATCACTCCTTTCAGGTCCTACAGAAAGGGTGCTGAAAATCTAGGAAATCCAGGTGGAGTTTCCGGTTTTCTTCTGATTCCCACACTCAGTAAACAAGCATTTAGTCACTTCATAATGAATGCTAATCCCACACTGCCATATTTGCCTGGAGTTTCCAAGCTACAGAGAATTGCATCAAATCAGAGCTGGGCAAAGAATGCTTTTTTTCTCGCTGGATAACATTGCTTTTTCTCTCCAGAACTTCAGGTTTGAAAAAATAAGTCATGTTGTTAAAATAATTGAGAGCCAAAGTGAAAAGTCAATTAAAATATTATTCTCTCATATCTGACAGGGAGACAGATTAGAAAAAACCAAATAGCTAATAAACCCATTTCATTTATATCTGCACCAAAAAGGATTACTTGCTGCTTTCACCATGCCCCCAAAATCTATACTGCAGTTGTTTAGCTGCTGTAGTATTCAGAATTCCCAGTTTTCTAGATGATGATTTGTGATTCAATACTCCTACCGATAGATCTCGACTTCAGCATCCATTTACTTTACACAGCGTTACATCAGGTCTGCAGGTCCTTCTCTCTGTGTCTATTCAACATAACCCTGTGACTTTTTGTCTAGTCTGCTACAGCATTCACCTTCTTTGCAATTTCTCAGCTTAAGCCTCCAATTTAAATGTTTGAACCCACCAGGAATCTCTAGGAATATACAGAATTAACATAAGGAACATTCGAACTAATTGCTTCTTCATTTGGACTTTTTACTACAAACCTCACATTCACTACAAACCTCACATTTCCTACTGGGGAAATGTTGACCACTTCCTGACTAAGACAGATAGGTGTAGTTAGCCTACCTTGCCTAACATTTTTTCTATAATTGTTCACTGTTCAAGCTGCAGGTAATTCTGCTTACTTGCCCCAAATATTAACATTTTATAACATTTTAAAATGTAACTCCTCCACTCCTCTATCTCATTAGCTAAGCAAACAGCTTGCATACAGCTCTTTCATTTTTTCTCAATTTAGGTTCTCAAAAGTATTATTAAGGGAAATTTTTGCTGCTCCCTGCATCCTAAATTCCTTCATAAATTCCTTAAAAGAGTTAGTAAATTAATGGGCTAAACTCTGCCCCACTTAAATCAATGGGGTTACTTCAGATTGTTACCACCATGAGAGCAAAGTTTGGCACAATAAAATTAATAGCCAGTTGGGGAATGTAAAATGTGGCCCTCATGTTTACAAATATTTTAAAGGGAATACACACCCAAGCTGGAAAGTAATTAAGGACAGCATATGGGAATGTAATGAAACGGGGAAGGGGAATGATTAAGGTAAAGAACACATCCGTATAGATTTAGTAATTGCACACATTTTCAGTGCAAAGCCATTTTATTTCTGTCAGTCAGACTGCAGAAAGTTTGCATAGAACATTTAATGTTCAGGAATACATTGCTATGAAGTTATGGGATAGTTGTCTAAAATAACCCTTATGAACCTCAGATCACCATGTTTGTTGTGGGCAGATTGGAACAAGGACTGTTTTCTAATATTTATCCTGCTTTAGTTTGCTATTCACAGTAAAATCAACATAATCCAAAGAGAAT